AGGCTGCTCAAGACGGTTCCCAGATGATTCGGTTCAACTCTTACTTAGATTTCTGTGGGTTGACGGACTGAGTTGAGTTCCAGAAGCAAAGCCTTACGAGGCCTCCCAAAGAGGCACTTACTATGACCATAGTTGTGCTTTGATGGCCTCTGGAGGCGACTGAGAGCCTTGGGCACCCCAGAGAAGATGGTGTAGCCCTGCTCCTGCTGATGTCACAATCACCACAGACACAGACCTGGCTGATGCGCTCATGATGTGTCTGGGTTTCAGAGGCTGGTCTTCCGCCAGTCAAGCAGGAGCAAAGGGCGCATTAGAAGTGCTGCAGTCAGACAACCTCAGTTAGATGTTGGACTTTCCTACAAGGGAGCCTGTGGCCCAGAAACCCGATGGGGAATAGGAACGTGTGGGAGTAAGCCTCAGCCGGCTGAAAAGTTGGGTTGCAAATCAACATGCGTAAGGAAAACTCCATCCATCTTCATGTAATTCCTTCGTTCCTTGTTTGAGCTTCTGAGTAAGTGCTGGTACCCCAAAAACTTCTCTCTGCTCAGAAGTAGATTGCACGTGCCTAAGAGTGTACATTGTATTGTATTTGGGTCCATCCTGCCTGTAAAAAAGGTGTGGGTCTTCCGTCTTGGTTTTTTTAACCTCCCACAGACATCCCCGCAATGCATATTGCCGAAAGCCACTACCGTGAAGATGTTCCTTTACTGAAATGTGAATTTAATCACCTTACTCTTACGTTGCAATAGCAAACACAAGTTCCACGGGATGCGGGATGCGGGAAATCGTCTGTGAAAGTCTGTCGCCCAAGAATGTTAGCTGTTTTCTCCACACGGGGGGAGGAATGGGGAAGTCATGTTTAAAAACACAGATCTTTAAATAATAAAAGGATGATGAATAATTATGCATTGTTTTCTTCGTCTCCACAGCTAGAGGTGTGACTACAATTGTGGTTGTGCTCATCTTGTTTTCTGGTGTCATATCCCCCTCTGCTGGAGGTTCGTGAATATTTATCTTGACCAAAATTACTATGATTATGGTCTGTTAACCCAGGATTCCTAGTCCGGAAAATCAACATTGCAGTATGCACTATGGCGTAGCGTTACCATATCCAGATCAAAGGAACTGAATTGGATGGACCATCTATTGGAAATACATATTGCAGCAAAGTAGATCCCATCACCAGGAGGGATTACCAGAACCTTGAAATAAGAGAAGAGGCTTATAATGACAGAATGAAGGAAAATGCCACAGATCAGAGTATTTTTAAGAAGACACCCCCCCCCCATTTATCCTTCCTCAACTCTTTCTGCATGTTTTAGTTCTGTTCACCAAGTAATGTAATTTTGCTCTTCTGCTCAGACCAATCACCTTGTAGGACCAGTCCAAACTCGGAACCACAACGAAGTAGCATATAAAATGTCCAAAATATGGGGGCAACCTTCAGGAAAAAAGTTCAGGACCTGGATAATTTGTCACAGGATATAACAAACCTCAGCACAAAATTGGGGTACATGAAGCGAAACAGCTGTGCCAACAGAAAGGTAGAAGAACGTATCATGAGTAACAGGAGTGGCCGGAAGACCTCAACAAGTGGTATAAGAGAATATGGGTCAAGCAGGGGGTCCACGGAGCGTGGCCAGAAAAAGTCAAGGTGGTCAGAAAGGTAGAACTGAAGCTTTGCCTGTTTTTGTATGCAACATCTGGATTATTCTGGCCACATTGTGCAGACACACCTGGATCAATGTGTCTCTACTGCTGCTGTCTTTGCTCTAGAGCAGTGTTTCTCAACCTTGGCAACTCCAAAATGTGTGGACAACTCCCAAAATTCACCAGCCACCATGCGTGGTTGAAATCCAGGGATGCATGGTGGAGCAGTCCAGGGTCTCCTCCAGTCAGATGTTGAAGGAGCAGAGCCAGAACTGATGAAAGCTTTCCGGGAATCATTTTCACTGTAGTTTGCCTCTGTTTGAACTGGAGTGTTGGGGAGGTCATAGGAAGGTGACCTTGGCCCCCAGTTGTCAGGTTCATGTGTATTTTTTTAAAACTTGTGGATCTGGGGGATGTGGACAAGGAAGAGGACCCCCATTTGTCTGTTCAACTTGTCTCCATCCTGCTTGATTAGATACGCCAGCGCAAATATCTGCAGGGTGTGTGTGTGTGCGTGCGTGTGTGTCAAAGAAGTCAACATGGCAGCCATGATCGCAGTTGAAGCCCCATTGAGGTCACAGCCGCCATGACTTTTTTGGACCCCCAAGGCTGAGACTGATGGTGATTACTGTCTCCTGAAGCACAAGATCTGTTCTGGCATGCTTCAAGGCGGCCATGATAAGATGTTTATTAAAAAGGCCCTCCCTTAAAGGAGGAGGGTGACTCTGCTGGTTCTCGCGGCCTCTTAATGGCTTTCGTGCCATCAGTCATGGCATCCTTCTACACATCTGCTTCGTCTCAGCCTCAGGGACCCCCTTTTGCCGTACTCATGGTCCTTTCTGTTGGGAGAGTCCAGGGTGTGGTGCTAGAGGACACTCCTCAAAATCTGGGGCTCTGACCTATGACGTCCCTTCGGGTTTAGCTTGTCCCCTGTCCGGTTGAACATGGGTGTGAAACCGTGTGCACTGCATAGTTTTATGAGCTCAACTTCGGCAACAGATTGTTTGTTTGCGACAATCCAGCCTGGTTTCCAACACTGGGATTTCCTGGTGGCGTCCCATCCAAATACTAACCAAGCCTGACTGTGCTTGGCTCCAAACCCAAAGTCAGCATCCTGTTGTAGAAAATCGATTCCTTTTGCCCAGTGTTCTGCAATGGTGCCAATAGTAAGCGAGCTGCCAAGGCACACGTGGGCACCTAAAATGCAAGGGCCCCTGATTAGATAGCGAGAGAATAACATGATACTGAATGCACTTGAGCTGAAAATAACTTTTCCCCAGTGAAATCCAATTCCCCCAAGCTGGGGGGGGGGGGGGGGCGGGGCTACTTACTTGACTGAAAGGCCCTGTTGAGTAGCCAAATACGCACCCGTCCGAGGGAGAGGAAGTCGCCAGCAAGACAGAACGAAGTGGCAAGGGGTGGGTTGGTTGTGGCTACTTAAGCGGTATCCCCGTACGTTTAGAAGGTAACCAGGAGCCCCCCAACCCCATGAGAGTCAGGGCTGAGAAACTGCCATCCCCCAGGCCCTTGGCCAATCTTGTCTAGGGTTGGAGGCTCAGCAGGGGTATCTGCGGAAAGGAGACCACCAGGAAATGCCAGGGCTGTACGCTACATACAGAAGATGAAAAAAATCCCAGCATGAAAAGAACGGCAAAGCTGATACCAAAAAACCAACCCCGCACAGATGGATCCATGAAGGCAACAGGAACGGCGCCTGACTTGATCCATCTGTGCGGGGTTGGGTATCTCTGTTTACACTGGCGAAATGTCAGAACCGTTGTAACTTGATTTATTTTTAATATCTTCCTCACCAAAGCGTATCGGCTTAGATTTCGGTTGGTTTCAGTTTTCCACAAATCTTTCTGAAAACAACCGTCTTCTTTGTACTTCGAGAAAAAATGAAAGTTGTAGTTCTGATTTGCGGTTGGATGGTTTGTGTTGATAGAAATAATGTGAATGAGGATTAAATAGTGATAAGAGATTAACTTTTTTTAAAATTTGTATTTATATCTGTATTGGAGATAGTCGGAAGTCAGTTCTTGTTTCATCTTTCTATTATTTGATCTCACTCCTTTAGTTTCTGTCTTTTTCTTTTAGTTCTCTCTTTTCTATTTCTTCTGAGTTGTATTTTAATTGTACTTTTTATATAACTTAATAAAAGTTTTGACCAGAAAAAAAAAAAAGGAATTCTGATTTGTGGTGATCCCACCACGTCAATGCCTAAAAAAGGTCACCTTTTGCAGGAACAACTTTTACTTTTTTTACTTTTTTACCTTTCTCTCGGAAATCCTCCCAAAACGACCTTTTGAGGAACGGAAGAGAATCCCTAGATTTGCTTTACTTGCTATAATTTGGGGATAAGGCTTTTTTACCTCAGTGATAAAAAGGGGTAACAGCAGCCGAGATGTTTCAGCACATCAGTTTTGTCTGCAATATGTTTCCCCCAAAATTTCCATCAGGCCCTCTGATTATTTTTTCCCACTGAAAACTTTCTGAAACCTATTTAAAATATCCGGGTGGGACCGAAAAAGAAGACTTGCCCGTATAGGCACGTTTTCATGTAAGGAATGCAATTCATACTAGTTACCTTGATATTTTTGTAGCATGGTTTTATTCACACGGGAAGGATTCGACCATCCCTATATTTTCCATAATTTGTTTAAGATGTGCTTTGAACACAATGCACTGGACGGTTTGCTGCAAAAGCCTTGCTGAAAGGAGAGGATGGGAGACTGGACCATTGAGGAAATGAGGAACAACCTTAAGGCTCTTTTAGAGCACTGTTTCTCAACCTTGGCCACTTGAAGATGGGTGG